ATATTAAAAACAAAACACTGAAAGCTTTTTATCTAAGATCTAAGCGATGATGCTCATAACTCAATAGCAACATACAAATAATAATCATAGCCAATTTTTAAATTCAAGAAGGACTTAAATAGATGTTTCTCAAAGAAGACACACAAATAGTCAATGGATATAGAAAAAGACAGACAGCCGGGCTCAGCGGCTCATCCTGTAATCCTGCACCTCTGGGAGGCTGAGGTGAGTGGATTGCCTGAGCCCGCGGGTTCGACACCCACCTAGGCAACTTGGCAAGACTTCATCTCTACAATAAATCAAAATGAGCTGGGCGTGGCAGCACGCGCCTGTAGTTCCAGCTACTTGGAAGGCTGAGGAGGAAGGATCGCTGGAGCCCAGCAGGTCGAGGCTGCGGTGGCCAGGAGCGGCCACTGCACTCCAGTCTGGGTGACAGAGTGGGACCCCAACTCAAAAAAAAAAAAAAGAAAGAAAAAGACATGCAGCATCACTAATCATTAGAAAAACACAAATCAAAACCACAATGAGTCGAGTACAGTACCTCACACCTGTAATCCTAGCACTTTGGGAAGCATAGGCAGGAGGATTGCTTGAGTTCAAGAGTTCAAGATCAGCTTAGGCAACGTAGCAAGGCCTGTCTCTAAAAAAAATTGTAAGTATTAGTCGATCAGGCTGGGCATGGTGGCTCAGCCTGTAATCCCATCACTCTGGGAGGCTGAGGCAAGAGGACTGCCTGATCCTGGGGGTTCCAAACCAGTCTGGGCAACTTGGTAAGACCTTGTCTCTACAATAAATCAAAAAATTAGCCGGGCATGGTGGTGCGCATCTGTAGTTCCAGCTACTTGGAGACTGAGGCAGAAGGATCTCCTAAGCCCAGTAGGTACAGACTGTGGTGGCCATGAGCATGCCACTGCACTCCACCCTGGGTGACAGGGGTGAGACTCCAACTCAAAAAAAAAACAAAAAAAGACTTAGCCGAGCGTGGTGGCATGTGCCTATAGTTCCAGCAACTCGGGACAATGAGGCAGAAGGATTGTCTGAGTCCAGGAAGTCGAGGCTGAGGTTGCGGTGAGCTGTGATCATGCTACTGCACTCCAGCCTGGGTAACAGAATGAGACCCTCAACTCAAAAACAAACAAAAACCACAATGAGATATCAGCTTACATCTGTTAGAATGTCTATTATTAAAATACAATGTGTTGACAAAGCTGTGGAGAAATCGAAATTCTTGTGCAATGTTGATGGGATTGTAAAATAGTATAGCTGCTATGAAAACCAGCACAGTGTCTCCTCAAAAAATTGAAAATATAACCACCGTATGATCCAGTAGTCCCACTCTCAGGTATTTATGGAAGATCATTGAAATCAGGATCTTGAAAAAATATTTTTACTCCCAAGTTCATTGCAGTATTATTCACAACAGCCATCATGTAGAAATAACCTAAATGTCTATCAACAGATGAATGGATAAAAAAATGTATTATATACTTGCAACAGAATAGTATTCAGCCTTTAAAATGCAAGAAGTCCTAGAAACTGAAAACATTTCCCCTAAAAACTGGAACAAGACAAGGCTGCCCACTCTCACCCTCTGTCCTAACCTCACAGAAACAAAGAACAGAGTACCATATGTTCTCACTAACCCAGGGGGTCAGGTGGTATCTCAATGTGGTTTGGATTTGCATTTCTCTGATGATGAGTAAGGCTGAGCACTTTTTCACGTGTCTGTTGGCTGCCCGTATATCTTCTTGTTAATAAAACAAACAACAGATGCTGGCAAGGATACGGAGAAAAAGGAACCCTTCTACACTGCTGGTGGGAATGCAAAGTAGTGCAACCTCTTTGGAAAACAGTGTAGTGGTTTCTGAAAGAACTAGAAATTGACCTTCCATATGACCCAGCAATTCCCCTATTGGGAATATTCCCAGAGGAACTCAAATCATTCTACAAAAAAGATACCTATACACGCATGTTTGTTGCAGCTCTAGTCACAATAGCAAAAACACGGAACCAACTGTGTTGCCCATCGAAGCTGGACTGGATAAAAAAAATATGTGGTACATATACACAATGGAATATTATGCAGCCATAAAGAAGGACAAATATATGGACTTTGCAGCAAATTGGATGGATTTGGAGTCGATCACACTCAGTGATTTATCACAGAAACAAAGAACTGAGTTCCATATGTTCTCACTCATAAGGTGACCTTGAACAATTATACTATAAGAAAGCGATTGGCAGTAGTGGAAAACTGTCAGGGAAAGGGGAGTGGGACTGGCAGTTGAGGGAAACTGCTAGGGGATGGAGGGGCATGCCTCATCAACAAGGGTATCTTCATAATCAACATTTGTATACCTAACCCTGAATTGTATCCCACATCTTTATAAAATAGAATAAAATGCAATTTTACCCTGCCATTTGTGATCATATGGATGAACTTTGAGTATGTGATGTTAAGTGAAATAAGTCAGTCACATAAGGACAAATACTGCATGATTTCACTTATATAATATCTAAGTTAGTAAAATTTATAGAAGCAGAGAGTAGAATAGTGGTTGTCAAGGGCCAAGGAGAGAGGAAAATGAGGAATTTGTATTCAATGGGTAGAAAGTTACAAGTATCCAAGAAGATTAAGTTCTAGAAATCTGCTTTAAACACTGTGCTTATAAAGTTAACAATACTGTATTGTACCAAAAACGTGTTAAGAAGGTAGAACTCATGTTACGTGTTCTTATCACAATAAAAAAATAAAGATTGGAGACAGCATTATCAACCAACTTGACCAAATTAACATTTATAAAACACTCTAGCTAATGACAGCATGTTTAGTACACATCAAATATTCACCAGAATAAATTATATTCTGGACCAAAAAACAAATGTCAACACCTTGAAGAGGTAATGATTTCAATTGCAGTGGACTTAAATTTTAAAGTAGCTTTTAAGAATTTTAAAAAGGATAAATATAGATGAATGTCAGGGGATGAGGGAGAATCCAGAAATAAATTTGCTCATTAAAATATTTTTAAAAGACTAAACTACGAAACTTGTATAGTTTTTACCACGGATGAAATGTGTGTCATTAAATTTAGTTATTACCATTTAGAAACAAAAGAGTTCGTACTTTATCTAGTTTCCAAACACTCAGACTCTTAAAAATGAATGTTTTATAGTTGCCTTCTAACTGCAGATTTGTGTACAATGCTATCTTTTAGAATGGACTCAACTGACTATTCAAGTCTTGGAACGTGGGATCTGTGTAAGACTCGGCTGTTTTCATCTAGGAAGCACCTAATTAATAAAAACTGTTGGTTGGCATTGTGAACATTCACTGACTGCCACAATTTGCTCAGGGTATTAAACTGATAGTCTCAATGTTCCTAAAATTGAACTCTCCTTTAGATGTTGCTCTTTCATTTTTGGTAAAAATCAAAGCCTTTCCTCATGTAATAGTCTTTCTCATGTTCCAGTCCATGAGCAGTTTGGGTGCCTGGAAAGCAGTCACAATTCAGACTCGAGCAATTCAGGCAGAGCAATTCAGACAAAATATCCATGAACTTGGTACAAAATAACACATTCATTCATTTTAATTGAGCCACCTGGTTGGATTTGTCAAAATAGCCTCTCTAGTCTGTTGTGTAGATTGAGTCTCAAAGAAATGCTTTTAGAGTCAAAGCCTTTTTCAGAGAAAAGAGGGGAGAAATAAAAGAGCAAAATTTTCTTAACTACCATCTACTTGATCATGGACAACTCATAAATGGGTGGGTGTGTATATGCCATTGAGGCTCAGAAAATAATACCCCAAAATGATGGCCCTCAGAAGCAAAAGTTTTGCTCTGGCCTATTCCTGCTTTCCTTCCTCTCAGTTCCATTCTCTCCCAAGGCTAGCCATGGAAACTAGAATCTCTCTTTTTAGGTCATAGAAACCAGACTTCCTTTCCCCCAGAGCCAGTCATAAAACCTAGAAATATTACTTTAATTTTCCCTCCATCTTATCTGTGTAAAAGCTCATCATAAAGAAATTATCTAGGCCAGGCTCGATGGCTCAGCCTCTAATCCCAGCACTTTAGGAGGCCCAGGTGAGTGACTTGCCTGAGCCTGAGGGCTTGAGACCAGCCCTGGCAACTTGGCAAGACCTTGGCTCTACAATAAATTTTTTTAAAAATAGCCAGGCGTAGTAGCACATGCCTGTAGTTCTGGCTACTTGGAAGGATGAGGTGGAAGGCTCCATGGAGCCCAGCAGGTCGACGCTGGGGTGGCCGTGAGTGTTCCACTGCACTCTAGCCTGGGCGACAGAGTGAAACTCCAACAAGAAAGGAAGCAAGGGAGGGAAGGAGTAGAGGGAGGGAGGGAGGGAGGGAGGGAGGGAGGAAGGAAGGAAGGAAGGAAGGAAGGAAGGAAGGAAGGAAGGAAGGAAGGAAGGAAGGAAGGAAGAATGAATCTGACTTATCTTGTTTGACTGTAGGTCATAAGACTCCCATTCCAGAGAGGATCCTACTCCATATTCAGAAGAAAGGAATGTATGGTCAGAGTGACCAAAAAGAATCCAGACAGACAGGCCTTATTGTACTTCGGTCTATTAACATTACAGCATATCATTTTTGTTCAATCATATTTCTACATGGCTGTTCATACTTTGGACATAAAAATAGACAATTTCTCCTGTATTTTGGAGTCTTCATTTTGAAGGCTCTCATATATGTGGGTTAAATAAATTTATATGACTTTTTTTTCTATTAATCTGCCTTTTGCTAGCTGATTTTTTAGCAAATCTTCAGAGGAGCTAAGTTCTTGGCCCCTAAAATGCCACTTGAATAGAAACTAGAATGGGGAATTTATTTGCCGGACTTGATTTCTCTTGTGAGACCAACAAAAATTATCCATACATACTCCTGCATATATATGATAAGCTCAAAACCGTAAAATAAGAGGATGGATTCCCTGAATTTACCACTATGCCACAAAAACATATCCCAAGAGGGACTATCACCACTTACTTGAGCTTTCTTCCTCAGTATCATCTTCTTTTTCCTCTACTTGAATTTGTACTGTTGAAGAGAGAAAAAAAGTATAGCAATTATTTTAAATGCCTGTATAATTATTAGTAACTGGCTTTTACTGTTATTATCTGTATCATAATTTTATCAAATTTTTAATTATTTTTATCATAATGGTTTTGTGCAATTAATAAAATATTTTTCAATAAACTTGTCAAATGAGCATTATTTATTAAAATATATAGTTACAACATGCTATACAATATTATGCCAAGATTTTTCTGTTTCATTGCCTTAAGGGATTTGCAGAACATATCATCTCAGTTCAAAATAACTTCAACCAAAATAAACTCTGTATTACAATAGGTAGATCTGGAGTTTGTTAGGTAATTTCATTTTACGAGAAATTAAATTGTTAGTAAAGCCATATCTACATGCCCAAACCAACTAGGATAATATAACAAAATTAATTATTTAAAAATAGAGATCAATTCTTTCCAACCAATTTTATGAAGCACCAAGAAGTATTTAGAGAAAATGCTTAAAGTCTGATCTTTTCAATTTTAATTACTTTTGTAGGTATTATATTGACATAGTGTACGTCTCCCAATATTTGATTCCCCTTGACAATGTCAAGACAGGTGATTTGACAGTTCTTTTCAAGTCTAAGAACACTTTTTTCTGTCTATTCTTCATCATACTCATATATCCTGTTTTTAGTTTTACTTTGTGTTTTATAACAGCATATAAAGATTTTATAAAATGTCTAATAGTATAGTAAAAAGAAAGATATATTTGTGGCATATTTTTTCCTTGTCAACCTAATGTCCATTTATCACAGGTTTGTTTGTCACCCAGACACAGAGCTCCATGACTTGCCTTGGCAAAAATTAAACTATTTCTTCTTTTTTTTTTTTTTTTGAGAAACCAGGATTTATTGAGAGGACGGAGAAGCTCCCACAGCGGGAGGGGACCCAAAGGGGTTGCCCCAAACTATTTCTTAAAAGCAAAAGTCTAGTAACTTGTCTACAAAATATTAATTCTATCATATTTTTATTTAAGATGGTATAGCATATGTCCAAAAAAAGCAAAAATGACAAACAGTGCTGCTGTGAACAGATGAAACAATCTCTGGTTTTGTTTCTGTTCATGCACTGCCAAAGGTTATTATTCAGAACTTGACAGGCATATTAAAAAGGCAACGCATGCCAAGAGTGTAAATTCCATTCACAAAGCAGATTATTGTAAAAGCACTTTTTGTCTTTAAACAAAATATGCATAAAAATTTTTAGGATATGCAAAAATGTTATCACTCAACATCAGCCACAAAATGAGAAAATAAATGTTCTTTTGTTCAGCATGGACATATGCCTTCTGTTGCGGGCTGTAACTGGATCTGCACAGGACAAAGATCTTTATGTCACCACTGAGAGTTTGCAGTAATAAAGGCAGACACTTCTAAGGAGATATTTCACATTCTACAATAGGTCAGGATCTTTTATTGCAATTGATCCCACCACTAAGCTTCTCCAGTCAAAGACATATTCCCAAGGAAGGAATTTTAATGATGTAAAATTAGCCTTGATGCAGGGTCTTATCAGTTAAGTACAATATAGAAACAGCTGAGGACGAATAGCAAATACTGACCTACAGCCTGTTTTATAACATGCATAGCCAAAGCAAAATTTTTTTAAATGTGCACAATATATTATACTGACATCATAATTAATTAGAACACGATTAAATAAAGTTAATTAAATAAAATAGAAAAAATACTAAATGAACAAAACTACAAGTAAATCTTTAGGAAAGAGCCTAGAGTAAATAAAAACAGCAGAATCAAATGTTCCTAAGCCAAGGAGATAAGCAACAATTGAGTTTTCTCTAGCAACCAGGAGAGAGAGAAAAAACAGGGCTGAAGTCATGGCTCCTCTTCTCTGCTACAGAAAGGATAGTTATAAATAACCATTAGATAAAACCTAAAAATCTGCAAGGGAAGACATTCCCTATGGGGGCAAGTAGCAAATTAAAGCAAAGCTATGATTTCTAAGGGATGCGATGAACAGGGCTGCTGAAATAGCCTATTCCCTTCTCTCTTGAGTTGGTTTTCCAACAGTGTTACTGCTCTGTGCCTGTTCGTCTCCACATTCTCACCAGGTGCCTGCTTTGCTTAACAGCATTCCTTTGTCTGGACATGGAACAGTCACTTCTTATATTCATTGTGATAATACTTGTTTTGTTCTTGATTCAAACCCTCAGCAAATGCGTCATCAGTGTGAAGAACTAAACAGCAGCACTACAACCAGATTTAAGACTCTATCAGGATCCCCAGACCACGCTTGGTTTTAATGGAACTTCATTCAGCCTAAAAAGTAACTGTCATCACTGGTCTGTATCTCCTTCAACTCAAAGCAATGCTAAAGAATCAAGCTAAGAAGCCCCTCCAAGACAAAAGTCTGTGCAAAGGAAGAGCTCAAAATACTTGAATGGGAACTGCAGACTGTCTTTCCTTTCTGACAATCTTTGAGATGGCCGGTTGCCATAGCTTCTCCCAGCAATCCCTAGTAACTTATTCCCAATCATATGATCCTCTCATGCTTTGGCGGCTTCCCAATGCCTATTGATCATGCACTTTAAAAATAATCTTCTCTCCTGGGGAGTGACGGGAGAATGATAGTGAAAGAAGAGGGGAAGTATGTCAAAATGTTGGAGACAGCAAGCAAAATTGCATGGACGTATGGGTTTTTAAGAGAGGAATATGCAGTAGGAACAGATGAACTCCTAGACAACCCAGATCCTCATTTCATGCAAATAGGATCGGTAATTAAAAAGAGTAAAAAGAAACAACAGCAAAATGTCATATTTCAGAGGCATTGGAGTTGTTCAGAAAAGTGGATATTGTTCTGGGTTTCTTTTTTTTAATCTACGGTGCCGAAAGTAGTTTGTGGTCCTTCAGGATCACACAGCGGCCAGGTGACAGGAAGAGTTAAATGATATTGCCAATTCCTTAACCCATATTTAGCTCTTGAAATACTGTTTGTCACACCAAGTTATTGTTTTGGAAACTGAAAATGTGTTTATTCAATTAGTGCATATTGTGCACTCCTAAAGGTGTATAGAGAAAATGCTATTTGATGGCAAAGAATGACTTTATGGCAATGAAGTCTGAGTTAGGTATAAGTATCCAACCCAGCCTATTTGGGCTATAATAGCAATATACTACATTTGTTTGTTGGACTTTCTTGTGTTTCTCCTCAGGGTGCCTTTTTGTGTGTGTGAGGAAATGTCAACATTGGCCTCTCTCATACAAATGGGGTGCCTTGACCTCAGAATAAACTCCCTCACAAGGCTGTTAATCTATTACATGACAAGCACAGTTCCAAATCTTATCTAATGAACCCGCATCATTCCTATGGGGTATGATGTGGAATGTGAGAGAAAGAGAAGAATCAAGAACAACCCCATGGCTTTTGACCTAGGCAACCGGCAGAATAGAACTGTGAGAAAAGTAGATGAAAAATAGCTTAAGTAGGAGGTGTGGAAGACCAGGAGTTTAATTTGACATGTTGGATTTCAGATGCCTATTAGACATCCAGGTGTGATGTTAAGTAAGTATTGAATACTTGAGCCTGGAGTTTAAAAGAAAAGTCTGGGCTGGAAATGAGCTGGGGAACTATCAGCATATGCATAGTATTTAAAGCTATAAGACCAGGTAAGAAAATCAAGAACATGAGCGTAAAGAAGCCGGATGTGGTGGTGTGCACCTGCAGTTCCAACTACTCAGGAGGCTGAGGTGAGCACACTAGGCCGAGGCTGCAGCAGCTGTGAGCATACCACTGCACTCCAACCTGGGCAACAGAGTGAAAGTCTGACTCAAAAAGGAAAAAGAAGTAAATATTTTTTAAAAAAGAAAGAAAATGAGTGTAACAAAACAGAAAGGAGATTCCAAAATTATGAAAACAGGGAGAAGAACCAACCAAAGAGACTGAGAATGAACAATCACCTCAATGGAAGGAAAATAGGAAGGCAAGTGATATGCATCAAAGAGATGTTAAACAAAGTTCAATGAGGACTGAAGATTAACCTGTGTCAAATGGTATGGAAGGCAAAGATTTAGTAAGTTCTATGAGCCAAAGCCTGAATTCAAGTGACTTTAAGAGAAAATGGGCAATAAGGAACAGGAGGCAGCTAGTTTTGCTAGTCAAAATGTTCTTATATGCTGATAGGAAACAACCAATGAGAATGAGAAATTTATGATGTAGGTTATAAAATGAACCCCTTATACTGTTATGCAAACAAGGCAAATTAGATGAATAATTCCTTAACTTCATTGTTGCTTTTGGTTTTGTTCCTGGACTGTGAGTCCCTGACTGAGACTTTGTTAAGAGACTGAACAACACATTAACATACCCCTTGCTTATATATGGGTCCACTGTATGCCAGTTCAAAAGTAGGCAACTAAAAGATGGGAAAGAGAAAGAAAATAAAGATAAAAAGAAGAATGAAAGAAATATGGAGACAAAAAGAAAACTACAGCAAAAAAGAAGTAAAAAAATTAAAATGGGGTGAAATGATAAAGGAAAAAATTAATATAAAGTAAATGTTTGCATATTGGTCTTTGCTACATATTATAAGTAAATATTTGCTATTTACATATATCTGTAACCTCAGATTAATAAAAAATAGACTGCCTTCAGCTATCTCTACTAAAAATATTTTGCTTTAACAAAAATGTGAAGGTGAGGAGCCAGAAAATATGAATAAAATAAAGGTACTTTTTTTTTTTTAAGATGGTGTATTCCTCCTGCTTATAAGCTGAGGCTGAAGGATTGCCTGAGCCCAGGAGTTAAGGTAGCAGTGAGCTGTGGTCATACCACTGGGATACAACCTGGAATACAGAGAGCTCAACTCCAAAAAAAAAAAAAAAAAAAAAAAAGAGACAGGATTCCAAAGTAAAATTTGGCCTGTTCCATAGGGAAAGAGTTAGGCACCCCTTAACAAAAATAGGAAATCTCTGCTATCAAGGGGGAAAAAAAGACCAGTGAAACTAT